GCATTAGCCTAGCTCACAGCAACCTCAAACTCCTGGGCTCAAGCAATCCTCCTGCCTCAGCCTCCCAAGTAGCTGGGGCAGGCATGCACCACCATGCCCAGCTAATTTTTTCTATATATATTAGTTGGCCAATTAATTTCTTTCTATTTATAGTAGAGACAGGGTCTCACTCTTGCTCAGGCTGGTTTCGAACTCCTGACCTTGAGCAATCCACCCGTCTTGGTCTCCCAGAGTGGTAGGATTACAGGCGTGAGCCACCGCGCCTGGCCGAGTTGTGGTTTTAATAAGATGTGAGACATAGCTGTGGGTATGCAGATGGGAATGGGAAAGGAAAAACTGAGGATGTGGGTGGGAAGACAGAGTCTGTGGGCACAGGACTAGGCCGGTGGGAAGGGACAGTGCAGGGTGTCTCAATCTCAGCCTTGCTAACATCTTGGACTGGACCATTCTTTGGTGTTGGTGGCTGTCCTGTGCATGGTAGCGTATTGAGAAACGTCCCTGACCTCCACCCACCAGTTGCCAGTAGCACCTGCCCCTCTAGGTGACAATCAGACAACCAAGAATGTTTCCAGGCATTGACAGGGAAGGAGGCACAGTTGCCCCAGTTGAGAACCACTGGTGTAGTGGTTGGAATTCGAGAGCATTCTCTTCTGATTGCTTTTATTTTCTTAGTGACCTGATCAATGGCAAGGTCATCTGCTAAGAACACAAAGGGAAAGGAGGAGCTGGAGGTTTGAGAACAAAAGAAACGTGCCAAGTAGTCACCTGGGCGAGGATGAACCAGAGGAGTGCAGGAGTCAGGAAGAGCCACAGTGAGGGGCCTTTGGATTCCTGGGCACAAAGGGAAAGTGAGATGAGGCCAGGCAGGCTCAGGGGTGTGTGCGGGAGTGACTGTAGTGGTTGTCGGCAGCGTTTATGCTGGGCAAGGTGAGGACATGGGTGGGCTGGACAGTGCAGAGCCCTCCTGGATGGCAGATCTGGGGGAGCCTGGGGATCTGGGGACTTGGGGCACCAAGGCTGTGTGGCAGTGAGGAGTGGGACTCTCCAGGCTCAGATCAGGAAGAGGCTTTTATAGCCTAAAGATTTAGGGCGTGGCAGTGGGAGGAGTGTTGAGGGGAGGGGACTATGGTGGGGAGCCACGATAAGATCTTCCCTGGGACAGTGGCAAGGAATGAAGCCAGGGTGTGGCAGAGATCCCCCTGTGTGTCTCCTTCATGGACACTGCCTGTCTTTAGAGGGAATGAGCGTAGTCCTAAAGGCTGTGCTTGGCCTCTTAGAGACCTTGCCCAGCCTTTTCAGACCTGTCCAGCCTCTTGGAGATGACCAGGAGGGCGATCTCCTGAGGAGGATGACCGACTTTTCCCAGTTTGCTAGGAAGTTTCCATTTTAGCTGGGAAAGTCTCACATCCCTGCTCAGTCCGGAGCAAACCTGGAACGTTGGACACTCTAATCCTAAGGGAAGTTTTCCCTGCAGAATGGGTGACCTGGGGAGGTGGCCTCTGCCCCTTAAAGGGCCAGAGTGTGGGTTGGGGGTTGGGATGATTCAGTGTGTGGGCAAGGAGAGGGTGTGCCCGACTCCCCCTGACCCAGAATCCACCCCCGCCAGGTGTGATGGTCGGCTCCCACGGGGACATGGCGCCTGCCTCCACTGCCGAGGGGGCCGGGGAGAAGCCCGGGCCTGCAGCCCCTGCCCCGGCGGCCCAGTATGAGTGCGGGGAGTGCGGCAAGTCATTCCGGTGGTCGTCCCGACTCCTGCATCACCAGCGGACGCATACAGGCGAGCGGCCCTACAAGTGCCCAGACTGCCCCAAGGCCTTCAAGGGCTCTTCAGCCCTGCTTTACCACCAGCGGGGCCACACGGGCGAGCGGCCCTACCAGTGCCCCGACTGCCCTAAGGCCTTCAAGCGCTCCTCTCTGCTGCAGATCCACCGCAGTGTGCACACAGGCCTGCGCGCCTTTATCTGCGGCCAGTGTGGCTTGGCCTTCAAGTGGTCGTCCCACTACCAGTACCACCTAAGGCAGCACACAGGTGAGCGGCCCTACCCATGCCCGGACTGCCCCAAGGCCTTCAAGAACTCGTCCAGTCTCCGGCGCCACCGTCACGTGCACACGGGTGAGCGGCCCTATACCTGTGGCATCTGCGGCAAGAGCTTCACTCAGAGCACCAACCTGCGGCAGCACCAGCGCGTGCACACGGGCGAGCGGCCCTTCCGCTGCCCGCTCTGCCCCAAGACCTTCACCCACTCCTCCAACCTGCTGCTGCACCAGCGCACCCACGGCGCTGTCCCCGCCCCGGGCCCCGCCCCCGCGGCCCCGCCCCCCCAGCAGCGTGAGTCCTGCGGGGGCGGCGGCAAGGTGTTGGTCCCGGAAGCCTACCTGCAGCGGCACCTCCAGCCCCACAGCCCGCCTGCGCCCCCCGCCCCGCCGCCCCCTCCCCCACCCGTGGTGCCCGAGCTCTTTTTGGCGGCAGCGGAGACCACCGTGGAGCTGGTGTACCGCTGCGACGGCTGCGAGCAGGGCTTCAGTAGCGAGGAGCTGCTCGTGGAGCACCAGCCGTGCCCCGGGCCAGAGGTGGCGCCCCAGCCCCAGGACACACCGGCTGAGACGCCCAAGGCCGATCCCCCGCCGTCCCCTCTGCCACAGCCCCAGTCTTCTGCCGCCACACCCACCCCGGGCTTCGCCTGCCTCCCTTGCGGGAAGTCCTTCCGGACTGTGGCCGGCCTCTCCCGCCACCAGCACAGCCACGGGGCCGCCGGCGGGCAGGCGTTCCGCTGCGGCAGCTGCGACGGCTCCTTCCCGCAGCTGGCCAGCCTCCTGGCACACCAGCAGTGCCACGTAGAAGAGGCGGCGGCCGGGCGCCCACCCCCCCAGGCTGAGGCTGCCGAGGTCACCTGCCCCCAGGAACCGCTGGCACCTGCTGCCCCCGCGCCTCCGCCGCCCCCGCCAGCCCCCGCTTCTACTGAGCGGCCTTACAAATGTGCCGAGTGCGGCAAGGCCTTCAAGGGCTCCTCTGGGCTGCGCTACCACCTGCGGGACCACACGGGTGAGCGGCCCTACCAGTGCGGCGAGTGCGGCAAGGCCTTCAAGCGCTCCTCGCTGCTGGCCATCCACCAGCGCGTGCACACGGGCCTGCGCGCCTTCACCTGCGGCCAGTGCGGCCTCACCTTCAAGTGGTCGTCCCACTACCAGTACCACCTGCGGCTGCACTCGGGCGAGCGGCCCTACGCCTGTGGGGAGTGCGGCAAGGCCTTCCGCAACACGTCATGCCTGCGGCGCCACCGCCACGTGCACACGGGCGAGCGGCCCCACGCGTGCGGCGTCTGTGGCAAGAGCTTCGCCCAGACCTCCAACCTGCGGCAGCACCAGCGCGTGCACACGGGCGAGCGGCCATTCCGCTGCCCGCTCTGCCCCAAAACCTTCACCCACTCCTCCAACCTGCTGCTGCACCAGCGCACCCATTCGGCCGAGCGCCCCTTCGCCTGCCCCATCTGCGGTCGCGGCTTCGTCATGGCCGCCTACCTGCAGCGGCACCTGAGGACGCACGCCCCGGCCAACACAGCCCCCAGCACCGCAGCCCCCGCCGCCGGCCCCCAGCCCCCTGCTCCACTGGCTGTCGCCCCGGCTCCACCAGCCACCCAAGACGTCCACGTGCTCCCCCACCTGCAGGCCACGCTCTCCCTCGAGGTGGCCGGGGGCACGGCCCAGGCCCCAACCTTGGGCCCAGCAGCCCCCAACTCCCAGACCTTCCTCCTGGTGCAGACCGCCCAGGGCCTCCAGCTGATCCCCAGCAGCGTTCAGCCCCCTACACCTCCGCCCCCACCCGCGCCTCCCAAGCTCATTCTGCTGCCCCCCTCCAGTGCTGGGGGTGCGGGCGGCAGTGCAAGGCAGGGCCCGCGGGCTGCAGGGAAAGCTGGTCAGGCAGCTGGAGTAGTATGGCTGCCAGGCCCTGGGGGCCTGGGCGTGCAGGGAGGGGGCAGCGCAGGGACCAGTGGTGGAGGGCAGAGCCTCATTGTTCTGCAGAATGTGGGGGGCGGGGAGGCAGGGCCGCAGGAAGTGAGTGGGGTTCAGCTGCAGCCCCTCCGGCCAGCCCCGGAAGTGACCACGGTCCAGCTCCAGCCGGCACAGGAAGTGACCACGGTCCAGCTCCAGCCGGCACAGGAGGTGACCGCGGTCCAGCTCCAGCCGGCACAGGAGGTGGCCACGGTTCAGCTGCAGCCGGTGGCGGGCCAGCTCTCCAATTCTAGCGGGGGAGCTGTGACTACCGAGGCCCCCAGCCTGCTGGTTGTTCAGAGTGGGCCAGCTGAGGACTTGCTCACGGGCCCAGGGCCGGGGGCGGCGGGGGAAGGTGAGGCCAGCACTGGTGTGGTCCAGGACGTCCTCTTTGAGACGCTGCAGACAGACGAGGGCTTGCAGAGTGTGCTGGTGCTGAGCGGGGCCGATGGGGAGCAGACCAGGCTGTGTGTGCAGGAGGTAGAAACTCTTTCACCCGGGCTGAGCGAGCCGCCTGCCGCTGGCCCTCCGGGACAGAAACTCCTCATCATCCGCAGCGCCCCAGCCGCTGAACTGCTGGAGAACGGCAGCGTTGGAGGCGGCGCCGCCACGCTGCAGCTCCTGGCCCCACCGCCACCTGGCCCAGCCTCTGTCCCTGCGGGACTCTCCGCTGCTCCCACCTCCCAGATGGTGCAAGTGGTCCCTGCAGGAACTGGGCCTGGTGTCATGACCCCGCAGGGTCTGCCCTCCATCCAGATTGTCCAGACTCTACCCGCAGTCCAGCTGGTGCACACGTTTTGAGGAGAGTGGCTGTTGCTGCCCCACACAGAGACCCCGACTCACTGTCAGCCTTGGGTGGGGGGCTGCAGGCTGGGCTTGCAAATAAAGACCCAGAATCTCCACTCCTTTGTTTTGTTTCGGGGGAGGTGGTTGGGCGGGGAAAAAAGGGCAATGTCATGGTCACAGTTATGGTCACTCCTGCCTGGAAGCCTGGAGTCCTAGCTCACCCAGATATCTTGTTTTGCGTCTTGGGGCCAGCTACTCCTATGTGGGGCTGTTTCCCTATCCTTTAAGAAAAGGCGGGGAGGTGTTGGAATCAGAATCCAGTTTCTGCCACTTGTTCCTTGCAAGTCACCCCACCCCTGCCCTCATCTGAAAAATGGGTAGGGGGAGAGCCTTGTCCTGAAGCGCACTGCCAGCTCGGGGCCCCGTGGGTGGAGGCGGAGGGCTCTAGGGACTGGGGCGTGTTGTTCGTGGGCTCAGAGCGCTGAGCTCCGCTCCGGGTTCCTCCCGCGAGGCCTCGGCGCCAATGAGAATCGATGTGCTCGAATCTCCGCCCCTCCCCGCGCTCAGGTTGCTTAGCAACGAGGGAACGACGGACCCGGAGCCTGAGCTAACCCTCCGCGGGCCGGGTAAGCCCCGCTCGCTGCCCCTCCCGTGCATCCCACAGCCCCCTCCCCCGCCAGCGTCTGCTCCCGTTTTTCCTCAGGCCCCCTTTCCCCATTGTTCCTTCTCCTCTAGGAATCGACTAGGTCACCCCCCCAGACCCCCAGCAGGGTCACAGCTCCATGCCTCGGTCTGTCCCCATCCCACTCCGTTCCTCCACCGGCCTCCCGGGCGGGGAACCATGGCAACAGTTGCTACGGCCGAGAGCAGGCGCACCCCGCCCCCACCCCCCGCGCGAGTCTGTGCGTCACTTCCGCCGGCGACCCCTTCCCGACCCTGTTCCCCCCACCACCTTGTCAAAGGATCGAAGCGACCCGTGGAGGTGCTTGCGGGTCCTCGCTCTTGCGACGCGGGAGAGGGGCGACTGCGGGGGAGGAGGGCGCTGGGAACGGGCGGAGGGAGTGTGGCATGTTCGCCCGCATGTGGGGAAGGGTTCGTTGACCCCCAGGGCAACCCCGGCGCCTGGGACGGATCCCGGTGCTGCAGCGTGTTGGCGTCCACGGCGCGTTTAGGGGCAGATGGCTGAGTACCGCTGGGGAGGGGGGATCCCAGGAAACTTCGGAAGGTCGCTGGGTATGAAGGGGGTGCCTGTCATGCCACGGTCTTCGCTTGGGTGTCCCGAGAGTCCTCAGTGTCCTGATCTGGGATATGCTGCTGTTGCTCCCCATCCACTGGGGGCCCTTGGGGTCAGAGGTGCCCACCTGACGCTGACCTACTTGTGTTTTCACCAGGTGCACCACACCAGCTCCCTTCTGGGGGCGGGGGCGTGGGGGCTGCCATGGCCCCCAGCCACCTGTCAGTGCGGGAGATGAGGGAAGATGAGAGGCCCCTGGTGCTGGAGATGCTGAAGGTGAGCAGCGGGGCCCCAGTGAGCCCGAGGGGCGGTCACAGTGGGGGCTCCCACACACCTGAGCCAGCCAAACCCCCTGGAGGGGGAGCTTTTCCTCCTAAGCTACTTGCTTGGCCACTTCTCTCTCTAATGCCTTCTCCCTGGCTGAGCCTCAGCCACCCTGGGGGCCAGGTTTTCAGCAAGGGGAGGGGTGTGGGGGCTAGGTGTTCATCTCTCGGCCCCAACCGCCTCTCTAGTGTCCTGCCTCCAAAGTCTGTCCCCGTTTGCCAGCGTCCCCCTGAAACTCTTCAAAACACAGCTTGGTGCTTCAGCCTGGCCCTGCCCTCCCCAACAGGCTCCCACTCCAGCCTGGGGCCATTTTCCCTGTCCTGTTCCCACCTCCTCACCCTCAAGGGCAGGTCCCTGGTGCCTCACTGTGGCACCTCCACTGAACTGGGTGCCCTCACAGCTCCTAACTCACTCATCAATCATTGATTCATTCACTCAACACCAGTGTGCCAGATTGGTCTTGCTGCCTTCCCTTCCCACTTGGGAGCCCCCACCCCTGCCCCGGGCAGGAGCCCTAGCAGGATGGATGGCTGAGGACCCCCTCCTGCCCACAGGCCGGCGTGAAGGACACGGAAAACCGCGTGGCGCTCCATGCTCTGACTCGGCCACCAGCCCTGCTCCTCCTGGCAGCAGCCAGCAGTGGCCTACGCTTCGTTCTGGCCTCCTTCGCCCTGGCCCTCCTCCTACCCGTGTTCCTGGCTGTGGCGGCTGTAAAGCTGGGCCTACGGGCCCGGTGGGGCTCGCTGCCTCCACCAGGCGGCCTCGGGGGCCCCTGGGTGGCCGTGCGTGGCTCTGGCGATGTGTGTGGGATCCTGGCCCTGGCCCCTGGCACGAACGTGGGGGACGGGGCCCGGGTCACCCGCCTCTCTGTCTCTCGCTGGCACCGCCGCAGGGGCGTGGGAAGGAGGCTGCTGGCCTTTGCGGAGTCCCGGGCTCGAGCCTGGGCTGGGGGAATGGGGGAGCCCCGGGCCCGGCTTGTGGTCCCAGTGGCTGTGGCTGCTTGGGGAGTGGCAGGGATGCTGGAGGGCTGTGGCTACCAGGCCGAGGGGGGCTGGGGCTGCATGGGCTACACACTGGTGAGGGAGTTCAGCAAAGACCTGTGAGGACTGCGGCCCCTGAGCAAGGGAAGGGAGTGTCCCCTTCCCCACAGCCCCCTGGGAGGGAAGCCAGCACCTGTGTGCCCACAGTGTGCCAGCACTCTCATGTCCACTTCCTCGGTGAATCCCCAGCCCCGCCAGGGCCAGGACCAGGAGGCCTGCAGAGGGTAGGAGCCTGACCTCTGTCTGTCCTTCTGAAGTGTGAAGTGTGTAGTGTTTGCATTTCTCCGAGTGGGTTGAATCCCTCTTTCCCTTCCTGGCTCTCGGGGCCTGCCAGAAGTCAGCCTGTTCAACCCCCTACCTCAGATTCTTCCTGCACTGAGAGCCCCCCCACTCTGTCCGTCTGCAGGGGCTGAGCTGTTTGCACTTCAGGCCTGGGAGAGGGGACGAGCGGGGGTGGGGGCTGAGTTAGGATTTGCACAGAGGCACCCCTAGGGGACACAGCCTCCCTGGGACTGGAGCAGGCTTGGATACTTGTCCTTGCTGCGGTCTAGTTGACCACTTAGCGAGAGCCGGAGTGGGGGTGGGGCACAGGGCTGCTGGGCCTGGCCTCTCTGGGAAGGTCGGAGCTGAGGGGTAGCCCTGTCCCTTCCTCCAGAGCCATCTGCGTTTTTACACTGTTTGTTAATAAAGCCTGAAACTGCGGTGTGCCTGTTTCATCTCTGATGCCTTTTCCAGTCTGTCTCCGACTCCCGCCTGCTTCTGTCTGGCTCCTCCTTTCCCCAAGTTGACATTAATTGTTGGGGGGGTGCTGCACAGGGAGAAGGGGAGGCAGTGAGCTCGGGCAGCCCCAGGCCCTGCCAGCCCTCTGAGTCACACTCCCCATTACCGAATTTTTCCGCCTCACAGCTGCCTGGTGTGGAGGGAGTGTGTGTGCGAGTGTGAGTGTGTGAATGGGTGTGTGTAGAGCCCCCTCCTTTTCCCAAGCCTTGACCCTTGGGCTTCCCATCCCCCTTGCCCCATTTCTCTCTGGGGATACTGAAGTTCAACCACTTCTCCCTCAAATGAGGAACTGGGGCTTCACACTCAAATCCACCAGTGAGGAGGGAAATGGAGAAAAGGGTTGCATAGTCTTTTCCTAATCCAGGAAGTCCCTCCTGGTGTCTGGCTGCAAGCCCTCTTGCTGCTGCACAGAGAGCCCCAGGTCTGCCCTGCCCCCAACCCCAGCCCTGGTCTGACCAGGCTTCCCTGGCTGGACAAGAGAGGAGGCAGGAGGTGGGCCCCCCATGCACTCTTCCCCCCACCCCTGTCCTGCCCCTTCTCTGCAGCCTGCCACCCCCCAAGCATCTGTGAGCACAGCGCTCCTCCGCTGGCTGGATTCTGCCTGGCGGACTCCCGTGTGGGTGTTTGCAGTTGGACACCCTCCCTCCTGCCTACCACCCCCCTCCTCCCCAGCCTCAGCCGCTGGCCGGCCCTCCCCCTCCTGTCCCCTGCCGCCTCCCTGCAGCCTCTCTCTTCCTCCTGGCAAAGCATCCAGCCCCTGCCTGCTCCTTCTCTGTCCTGGGCCCTGACCGCCTCAGGCAGGCGCTTCCCTCCCTCCCTCCCTCCCTCTGGGGCGCCTCCGCCTCCCTCTCCTGCTCTTCCCCTTTCACCCTGGCCCTGCCCTGGACTCTGCAAACATGAGGGTCTTGGCCTGCCTCCTTGGTGAGTGATCCCTTCTCCTTGGGGACTCAGGGGCCTAGGCCTCCACCTCCAACCCCTTAGCTCATCCACTTTAGGGACTCAGACTTCCAGGACCCAGTTCCTGGTGCTCCAGGATATCCTGATATCTGGCTGGCCCTGCCTGACCCCTCAGGGACCCAGCCTTCTGCACACCCAGCCCTCCCCCATAGAAGCCCAGACCTGGCCCCCCTACCCAACCTGCCCCTGTGGGAGTCACCAGCCATCTCACTTTTAGCCAAGTCCCTGTGGGAACACAGAGGCTCTATCCCAGCCCTGACTTCAGGGGCCAGGCATCTGGAGCCCCACCCATCTCAGGGACCTGTGTCTACCCAAACCCTCTGCCCAGAGTCCTGCTTCCCAGCTATGGGGTATCTGGCTCAGAGGTGTGAGAATTCTGTGTGTGTGTCTCGGGGCATTCAAGATGAGGGTCCTCTGCTGGAGAAGGGACCCACCTTGGGCCTGCCCCTCACTCTGTCCCACCCTCCAACCTCCCTTCCAGCGGCACTGGTGGGGATCCAGGCTGTTGGTAAGTGTCCCAGACACTCCTCCTGTCTGGCCTCTCCCAGCCCCCAGCTGCCCCATTGTGCCCTCCTCCTGCCGGGTCCCTGGCCGCCCCCCATCCCGCTATGGCTATGGCCTCGGCCACTGCTCCCTGCTAGAATCCCTCAGGCGTCCAGCCACATCTCTGAGCACCCAGGAGTCTGGGTCCAGGGTCCAGTGGCCAGGATGCGGCCTCCCAGTGGCACCCTATGGGACAGCTCCTACTGTCACCCTGGCCCTGGGGCCTCAGGGTCACAGCCTTTCCTCCGCCTCCCCCAGAGCGACTGCGCCTGGCTGACGGCCCCCACGGGTGTGCGGGCCGCCTGGAGGTTTGGCACGGCGGGCGCTGGGGCACCGTGTGTGACGATGGATGGGACCTGCGTGATGCCGCTGTGGCCTGTCGGCAGCTGGGCTGCGGGGGGGCGCTGGCCGCCCCCGGGGGCGCCTTCTTCGGGGAGGGCGCAGGGCCAGTATGGCTCAGCGAGCTGGCCTGCCGGGGCAGCGAGGGGCAGCTGGGCCTCTGCTCCCACAGGGGCTGGAAGGCCCACATCTGCTCCCATGAAGAGGACGCGGGCGTCGTCTGTGCAGGTGCGGGGACCCCCACCCCTCCTTCAGGGGCAGCTCCTTTGGCAGCTCCAAGTCCTTAGCCCCAGTAAATCTGTGCACCCAGCACTCCAGAGCCGCCTGCCTCTGCTCCCATCCAAAGCCACGTGTCTCCCGCCCTCCGGGACCCCCAACTTACAACCACTCAAAGCCCCTGTATCCCAGCCCTGTGCCTCTCCCAGGGACCCAAATGACCTCTCTACTCCCCCCACCCTCTTCATAGCTTCTGTTCTCTCCTGTAGGTCAGCGTGTGGCTAACTCAAGGGACAATCCCACTTCCCCGCTGGATGGGGACTTGTGGCCAGGGCTGTCGGGGGAGCTGAGCCCCAGTTCGCAAGAGCCTCCTGTGACTCCTGGTGAGCCCAAAAGACTTGGCCACCCCACCTGCCCAGGATTCTCCCTCCTGCATCAGCCATGCCGAGAGGGACGTGTGGCGCTAAGATCCCTCCTAGGGACAGATGTATCTGCACCGTCTCCTTTACAACCTGCATGTTTTCCACCACTTCAGACACTTGGAAAGGGAAGCCTGGCCCCTCAGGTGGGAGGAAGGATGAACTCCTGATCTCTGGCTGTCTTCTCTTCCAGCCCCCCGCCCAGCAGGGAGCCCCCAGAACAGCCCCCGGAAGAAGAGCCCCCGGCCACCCAAGCAGCCCAAGTCCACCCGGGCTCCTTTACTGACTACCGGAGCCCCCCGCCAAGGTGACTTCGGCCTCCCCCCAACCCCCAAGCCTGGGTGTTGCAAGACCCTAGGCCCAGCCAGACTGGGGACCCATGGGTGCCCTCTCCTTACCAGGGCCCTGGAAGGATCCTGGCATTCACCATATCCCTTCCTGGGGATTCAGAAAGTCAGGCCTGGTCCCTCCTCTTCTTCCTGCCCCACCCCTCAGGACAACCAGGTGTCCTGTCCCACTCAGGTCGTGGCTCTCTTTCCTTAATGGGCCACTGGCAGGCGGATCTCAGGCCCCTGGCCCCTCTGGACCTCAGTTTCCCCAGGTGAAAACCGAGGACGGGGTGTTTGATTCTGCCTCTCACCAGCTGCACTGCCTCCCTCCTTCCCTGTCCCAGAGCGGCTGCGTCTGGTCTCAGGCCCTCACGGCTGCGCCGGCCGCCTGGAGATCTGGCATGGTGGGCGCTGGGGCACCGTGTGCGACGACGGCTGGGACCTGCGAGATGGTGCTGTGGCCTGCCGGGAGCTGGGCTGCGGGGGGGCGCTGGCCGCCCCTGGGGGTGCCAGATTTGGGCCAGGTTCAGGGCCGGTGTGGATGGACGACGTGGGGTGCGGAGGAGGAGAGCAGGCCCTCCGGGACTGTCCCCGGAGCCCCTGGGGCCGCAGCAACTGTGACCACAGCGAGGATGCCGGGCTGGTCTGCACCGGTATGTCGGGGCTTCCTGGGACCCAGCAACCTTCTCCCTCTTTGGCTGTCACACCTGGGGGGTGCCACTGGCATCTGGTGCTCACAGGACAGCCCCCCTGACAAAGAATGATGCGTCCCCAAATGTCCACAGTGCTGAGATTTGGGAACCCAGCTTTATGGGACCCGGCAAGCCACAGCTGAGAGTTGGGAGAAGAGGCGAGCTGGGCACGGGAGGTGCACCAGGGTTGGAGTCAGGGTCCCAGCCCCTTGGAGGCAGGCGCATAGGCGGCCCTCAGCCAGTGACTTCCCACATCAGAGCCTTTTCCTTATTTGCCAACTGAAGATGGAGTATCTTTCCAGTGTCATCTTGGGGACAAAGCCTGTCCTGTGCTTAACGTAGTCCCAGCCCATCCATCCTCGTTTCCTGCCAGTACAGCTCAGTCCCTGCTCATCCACAGCTTCCTGGTGCTCTGTCCTTCCTCTCTCCCTGTCCAGGCCCGGCCCCCAGGCTGCGCCTGGCCGACGGCCCCCACGGCTGCGCTGGCCGCCTGGAGGTCTGGCACGGTGGGCGCTGGGGGTCAGTGTGCGATGACGCCTGGGACCTGCGTGACGCCGCAGTGGCCTGCCGGGAGCTGGGCTGTGGGGGGGCGCTGGCCGCCCCTGGGGGTGCCTTCTTTGGGGAGGGGTCTGGACCCATCATCCTGGACGATCTTCGGTGTCGAGGAAACGAGACGGCCTTGCGATTCTGCCCAGCGCGGCCCTGGGGCCAGCATGACTGTCACCACCGCGAGGACGCTGGGGCCGTGTGTGACGGTGAGGGGTGTGGGGGAACGCGGGGAGGTGGGCATGGTGGCACCTGGAGTGGAGTGTCAAGAAGGGGGGGTGTCCCTATGTGCCCTTCACTCCCTCTGGCCAAACTTCCTACTTTCCCCATCTCCAGCTCTGTGAAACCCCATCCTACATAAGGCTCTCTACTTGGGCAATTTTGCCCCCCAGGAGGACATTAAGTGACGTCTGGAGACATTTTTTGGTTGTCACAGCTGGAGGCTGGGGAGCTCCTGGCAACCTGTGGGTAGAGGCCAGGGAGGCTGCTCAACACCCTGCCATGCACAGGATGGCCCCAAGTGCAAAAGTGAGAGGTTGAGCCTCAGCCCCAGAGCTGCCCTCCTGGGCTCTGCCTCCTAGCCCAGGGGTAGCTAATCTTCTCCTCTGCATAAGGCCACCTCCCCTTTTCTCTGTCACCCCCAAGCTACCTCCACTGTCTGCTATATCGCTATATCTACTCCCTCCCTCTCCCCATTCCCACCCTCCCCTCCCCAGGTCAAGGATGTGGAAAGCTCTGGAAGGCTCAAGCTGTGTCTGGGGAGGGGGTTCTGCAGGAAGGGACTCCTGCCTGCAGCTGGGAGGGCTGAGTCACAATGAGGCAGGAGGTGGGAGCAGCCCAGTGGCATGGGGTGGGTGGGTAGTCATATTTCTCCCCCTGCCAGGCATGCCCCT